CGATCCAAGGTCAAGGACAGGCAGCAATCAAGCATGGTCACAATCAATCCGGCTCAGAAGTCAGGCAATACAAGGCAGAAGAACACAGAAACACTGGGGAGCTGAAAGACAATCCAGCAATTTGGAAACAGGCCGGCTTGGTTTAAATAGTGTGATCCATTAGGGCACCACATCACTTCCTGTGCGCCATTTGGGAGGCTTTTTCGCGGCTGTTCCGTGGCTCATGCGCCCATTTTCCAATGGTATGGAAAATAGGACGCCCTGCATGTGCAATTACAGGTGGCCTCTGACAGCAACGCTTGTTAGGCATAGTGTCTCTGCATTGATTGGTGCGTTGGGGGTGACATTTAGAATGAACGGCACAGCATTGCACCATTGCAGGTAGCGTGCATGGGCACGCACATGTTCCCGCTCATCAATGATGTGGCTTAAGGAAATTGTCAGTGGATATTGATGTAGTGATCCATTTAAAGGGGCAATCAACAGCGATCTTGAGGTGACATCATTCTTTCCTTCCATTTTGCAGTGCAAAAGTGAGCCTTCTGTAGCGCGATATCGCGCGACAAAGTAGTGCTATATCCGCGGTAATGCGCAACACCATAGAGTCTATTGGAGCCGAATCGCGCGACATCCACGGAAAAAGGGTCATGTACGAGCGACAAGCTTGATGAGCGACGGCGACATTGAGCTGTGAGATGTGAACAGCTCCATTGAAATGCATTGGACAAGCTACATAGAGCAATATCACGCAGAAATATGCGCGATTTCGCTGCAGAAATCGCGCAATAAACCGCTCAGTGTGAACGGGGCCTAAAATATACTTTTAAAAGATGTTCTCCAGGCATAGGTCACCTGCGTTCCGTATGTGCGATAGATGTATATTTGTTTTCTACGGCGCTATCTGCATTATGTCCGGGCTCTTTAATGCACTGCGAATGGTAATTTATGTGTTTACTCCCTATCTTCAGATGTGAAAGGCATGTAATGTTTATGGCTTAAAGATCAATAAAGCCGGAGATTTAAATACCTCTGATGGTGCAGTTAATCTCAACAGTATGATCTGCCCTAGTAGCTACCTACAGAAAACAAATCTGCTCCATCCTCATTCTTCCAGCTTGTGTCTATGGAAGGTTTATTCAGCACTTTGTCTTCAGCTCCGCACCAAGTAACGCTTTTTTTTCTAGACACTGTGGGAGCTTCAGGAGCCTTTATAAAGGAAATAAAAGCCATTGACAGAGTCACTTATTTTCTTAGCTAGCTTTACCAATCACATTTATGGGTAACGGTTGGAAGCGGGTAATGTGTAACCATATGAGAGCAAATCCTTCTTCTAAAGTCACATTCACGGACAGCTTCCATAGTCTGCGTT